AGGCATTTATTAACATTCGATTTATATAAGGTGTATTATATACCTAATATAATTTACCTAAAACTATTTAGCCTCCTCTTCGATGATGAATTTCAATCTCAATTTGCTGATGAATGTTGAATTTAATCAACCCAATGGCATCTTGAAGAGTGTGGTTGAGTTGAAGTATAGCTGTGCTAAATAATGATTGTTCCAAAGCAGTACAAGCTTCCATTCAAAAACAATTTAAAACGGAATGAAAAGAAAATCATTCGGGAAATGAATACAAAAACTACATAATTCTATATGTAGGCATCAGTAGAAATAAAATCAAAGATTTGGAGGTCTTAACTTAACAATAATATAAATAAAAAATCAATTTTAAAATACAATGAACAAGGGCTACTATGTATGATATGGAGAACAGGAAAAAAACATGAAAATGACTTCAAAATTACAACTCTATAGACAATAGAAATAAAATGCCTTAGAGAAGTCTCAACACAGAATGACACAATACAAAAGAATGATAATTGAGAAATACATACAATAATATGGGAGACAAATAAAGAAATAGAGGCATGATAAATTATAAACAATTATGTGTAAATGAATAGAAAAGGTTAGAAAAGCCAAAGTAGAATGGCAAAAAAAAATTATACAAATGTGTACATATAAGAAAAAATAGCAATACAATCAATAGAAGCACTTATAGAATTGATGAATGATGACATTGCCATAAGGAAGTACAGGAGACAAAAAATAGAAAGACAATAATAGTACTAGTACCATGGCAGGGAAAATAAAGCGAGGTAGGCCAAAAGCAAGATGAAGCAAAAAGTATTAAAAACAAGACATTAAAAAAATAAGTATGTGGTAAATAAGAACAGGACAATTGACAAAAAGTTATGCTTAACCACCTCTAACAGATATCTAGTCAAAATACGACACAAATAAAGAAAAATCCTCCAGAGCATATAAGTTCGCCTCCCTTCATCAGATTTAACCCTTGTCCGACAATTAAGCCTCACCAGTCAGTTCCCATCCCAGCTGAGCAGCCTCGTCTCGGGTCACCCTCGTCACCCATCGAGCGGACATCCACCGGGACCCCCTACAGGCGGACCCCCCTCATCATCTTCAGTATGTCCGATATCCCGCCCCCTGCCTCTTCGAGGGTCACGGAATACGTGCACGAAGAAGTCTCGGAGCTTGGGTGCCAAGTCGTATCCGGCCGAAGCCTCTAGCGTTAGAACACCTAGCTCGTAAACCAGAGGGTGGTGACTCCCTTGGGTACCTATGCATGCTACATAGGTCATCGATGGCCGAACATCAGGGTTAGGGGGTGACCCGGGTCTCCTCTTCTTAGGGGAGGCTAGTTATGATGCTCGGGAGTCGATGTTACTCAGGAAAGTTAATTAGAAATAAAGTGCATGGAAAGACATAAGTGACACCCTGTGGATGTCAATTTTTTTAATAAATGGCGAATGCGCCAGGAATTGATCAGAAATTAGACCTTATTTTAAGATTTTTAAATGTATTTAAATTATATTTGAACAAACACAAAATCAAGGAAAAATACAGAAACTCATAGCATATGATCTGAAAAAAATGGCATGGAAATGAATCCATAAAAATTGAAATTCGATTCAAGGAATTCCACAAGCAAAAAAGTATTAAATACCATTAAGAAAAATAATACAGGTAAAAGAAGACTTAAATAAAACTAATGAAATATTTTATAGAATCGATGAATAATGATATTATTTCCATAAAGAAAATATGGGAGTCAAGCTACTGCAGAAAACTGATAGTTAACCATAAACAAAAAGAAGCAAAATTCTCTCTCTCAGTGGAGGGTATACTTTACCAAACAAATAAAACCTATAGAAATGCAGTCAATAGAATATAGTATAGAATATGAATTGAAGTTTAAGGTAAGAGGTATTCTCCCAAAAAGAATAAGAAGTGGCCCAAAGTAATTTTTGGCTTTTAAAATTGGCTCAAATTAAAAATAAGTACCTAGTCTGAATTTGTCTCTGATAATAAAGGAACCATAAAAATTTAACTCAGAGGTCCATGAAATTTAAAAATCATGAAATCCACTGATAATGATCATTATAAACTTATAATTTATAATCATTATAATAAATCACTTAAATTAAATTTAACCCAAATAAATAACATTTTAGATATACTCTTGTCAATCCCGATGCATTGATGATATTCATCAAGATCAACATAGAATATGATATGTACTGCCCTGGAACTGTATCCATCTATCCATTTATTGTACAAAATCTGTAAAAAAAAAGAAATCAATAGTATACATTTCATTTATTATGATATATATTTTTTGTTTGTTTTTTATTTGTTTCATATTAATAATAAATAGAGTTAGTCAGTAAAAAAAATAATACATTTATTTATTTTTAAATAATAAATTAAACTTACAGTTATTTTAATCAGATATTTAAACCAGAATGAGGGCCAAAACATCAGGATTATAAAGGGAGTGATCTATGTTTCTTCTTAAAAAATAAAAATCTGTAAAAAAAAGAAATATAAAATATATTAAATTTCATTAATTATACAACAGGGTTGTTCACCACATACGACACGGAGTATTGTAGCTAAACGATTATATTTTTACAAATTGTAAGTTTTGGGTTCGATGAAGGACAATTAGAGGTACAATTTAAAAATAATTTTACAAGATACAGAGTGTCCCAAATAAGTAAAAAATATCAAAGTTGTAGTTTTTTAAATGGAACACCCTGTATATTATCACATTTTTAGATTCTACGATTAAAATAAAGGTAAATCTGATTAAGGTTTATTATACTTAAACCTTACCGTTTTTGAAATATTTTCAATTTTGGGAAATTGCAGTAAAAATTTTAAGGCTTCATTTCTCCAAGGATATCAAAGTTTTTAATACTAAATATTTACTGAAGTTTATTTATTGATCAGTTATTCTGTTACAAAAATAAAAATAATACTACCTTATACAGAGTGTCTAAAAATTTATTTTAAATAATTTCTAGCTTTAAACGCCAATAACTTCTTTAATTTAAATAGAACGCCCTGTATATTTTAGGATAATCAGATGCACAATTTAATTGTCTATCAAATTGTATTTTACCATTTCTTGCCTATCCCTTCAAGTTTTCGTAGAAAATGCATTTTATTATAATTTAGACCTCATTTATCAATATACCCATGGAATATTGACATTTTTGATTGTTTTTAAAGCAACAAATGTACAAAATGTACAGGCTAGTAATATTTTCGATTTTAATAAAATGATAATATTACTAGCCCATGTGTATGCAAAAAGAAAACTATTTAAATCTTTATAAAAGTGTATACCATTAATTAAATATAACGCCATTATTTCCGCCCATACCTATAATAATTAATTACATACTTAATTGTGTTCGTTAATAAATTATTCTAAATAAATGTGGATTTAAGTCAGAAATCAATATAATAATAAGTTATCAAAATGAACGTCTCTGTTGTTATAAATAAACATTTATTAAAAAATGAATTATAATTTTTAAGGTGTCACTTTTTACCACACTGTCTAATACCCAAAACTCAGTTTTTTAGTATTTGGGGCAATTATTATTAATCAACGCAAACAGTCAGTTAATGTAGTTTGAATACTGGAATCATATTAATTGGTCCTCTTTAACAAATATTTAAACAGTTTTTTTTTTATTTCTTAATGAAATAAACGAATTACATCGACAATATTAGTATCTGTACTCTTTGAAAATTTGGTACATCTTTAAGAATAATCTGAAATGTCAATATTACATGGGTATATTGATAAATAAGTTTAAATTATAAGAAAATGCATTTTCTACGGAAACTTAAAAAAAGAGATAAAAAATGGTATAATATAATTTGATAGACAATTAAATTGTGCATCTGATTCTCATAAAATATACAGGGTGTTCTATTTAAATTAAACAAGTTATTGCAGTTTAAAACTAGAAATTATTTAAAAATAAATTTTAGACACTCTATATGGGGTAGTATTATTTTTTATTATTGCAACACAATAACTGATCAATAAATAAACTTCAGTAAATATTTAGTAATAAAACTTTGATACCCTTGGAGAAATGAAGCGTAAAATTTTTGCTGCAATTTCACAAAATTGAAAATATTTCAAAAACGGTAAGGTTTAACTGTAATAAACCTTAATCAAATTTACCTTTGTTTTAATCGTAGAAACTAAAAATGTAATAATATACAGGGTGTTCCATTTAAAAAAATACAACTTTGATATTTTTTGCTTATTTGGGACACTCTGTATCTTGTAAAATTATTTTTAAATTGTACCTCTAATAGTCCTTCATCAAACCCAAAACTTACAATTTGTAAAAATCTCATCGTTTAGCTACAATACTCCTTGTCGTATGTGGTGAACAACCCTGTATATTGTGTATATATTTTTTTCATATTAATATACAGGGTTGTTCACAATTAAATTGTGCATCTGATTCTCCTAAAATATACAGGGTGTTCCATTTAAATTAAACAAGTTATTGCCGTTTATAGCTGGAAATTATTTAAAATAAATTTTTAGACACTCTGTATGGGGTAGTATTATTTTTATTATTGCAACACAATGACTGATCAATAAATAAACTTCAGTAAATATTTAGAATTAAAAACTTTTATTCCCTTGGAGAAATGAAGCCTTAAAATTTTTACTGCAATTTCACAAAATTGAAAATATTTCAAAAACGGTAAGGTTTAAGTGTGATAAACCTTAATCAAATTTACCTTTATTTTAATTGTAGAAACTAAAAATGTAATAATACACAGGGTGTTCCTTATAAAAAAATATAACTTTGATATTTTTTATTTATTTGGAACACTCTGTATCTTGTAAAAATATTTTTAAATTGTAGCTTTAATAGTCCTTCAACGAACCCAAAACTTGCCAAAACTTACAATTTGTAAAAATCTAATCGTTTAGCTATACTCCGTGTCATATGTGGTGAATAACCCTGTATGTATATTAAATATATCTTAAAATGTGGTTAGTTTTTAAAAAACATATGTAATAAATTATTAAAATTATTTTTAAATAATAAATTAAACATACTTTTAATCAGATATTTGAAGAGCAATCCCGAAAACCAGAATGATGACCAAACACAGGATTATATAGGGAGTGATCCATGTCTTATCTTCTTTTGAGTGATCTTGAGGCTTCATCTGTTTATGGTGTGTTTATGGTGTATTATTAATATTGCTGCTAAAAAATATAATAATTAAACCATATTATATTAAAATATTAATTGTTAACTTAAATATGACAGCAGTGTATGGTATTAAACATTATTTTGTGACGTGTAGACGTTTTTTTTAATCTAAAAGTATTATATAATTATTGAGAATAGAGGGCCTCTTTAGGTATACCCCCCAACACTGACTTGTTCTAAACAACGTAGAAAATACTATTTGCTTGTCTGTAGGAATAAAAACAATGCAGATATCTCGACTCCAAAAAAAATGGTCCAAAAAAATCGGTATCAAATATCTCTAAATTTGGGGCACTATTCAAAGCAAGCAACCCATTATTTAATGTACAATAGAGATATCAAGGGAATTATTTGTAATAGCTTAAATACAATTTAGACCAAAGAAAATTATGGAAATATGAAAAACGTATTAGCTTTTAATGATGATGTAATTGATTGTGAAAAAATATATAGAAAGCAGATAAAATGGTGGATACTTACATCTTCAGGAAGTCAACCAGGTCTTAAGGAACAGAATACACTCAAATACTGAACAGAAAAAACACTTTTTCGATCAAAAAATCAGAAAATTGTAAGAGCGATATAAGCACATGCTGCTAACAAAACAACGAATAATGGCGCACTGTCAACGTTGTCAAATTGAAGAGATGTAAAACAAATTAATCATTTTATGCTGCGTAAATAATGTTGTGTCTAAAAGAAAAAATATTACTTATTCTACCGAAATAATATTTTTATTATATGTTTATTAGATTTATCATGATTTTATAACTGTTTAATTCGTTTTATACCTAGGCAAATATTAATTTCAGTTAATTTCAGGACTTCGATGATACTTTGACAACCGTGTAAGAAACCAAATGACAATTCTGAACTGACCAATCACAGTCCGTTATTTCAAAAAATTGTGTAACTTGTGGATTTTAAAAAGATTTGAATTTTTCAATAAAAAAATAGAGAGCTTGAGAAAAATTTTAATAAATATGGTGTGTTTGTATTGATACGACACGTACCAGAGATAAAATACTTGTCTCTGTAAGGGTTTATAAGCCATATATAATGATTTATCTAAAAAAATGCAAGACGTCTATAAAAATCAAAGAAACAAAAATATGCGTATAAAAATTAAGGTTTATTTAATATTAAAATGAGTAATTTAATTCACAATAACAACTCATAATAAATCATAGTCTGGTATAATCGTTTTTATAAAAATCTGAATTAAAAAATTCCAATTCTGTAAGAAACAGCAGGTCAAAAAAATATACAGATAGTGTATTGTGGTGTCTAGCTTTGTTTTGCTGTTGTAACCTTCTATTTAATTATTTTATGGTTGTAACACCAAAGGTTCCAACTTCCAAGTGTAAAAGAATTCTAGATATACAGTATGTCCCCGGGATGTTGTCTCTAGAAGAGGAAACTTTTTTATTTTTGACATTTTAAGAAAAATGCAATCTGCATAAAAATTTTGGCTTGTTCTAAAATTATTAATCCCGTTTATACTTTTCCAAATGTCCAAACCATTTTAGAGAAAATTAAAAAAACAAGAAACATGAAAATATTATTGTTAAGTCCTAAAAATCAAAACGCGTTTCTATGGTAATATAATTTCGATTTCATTCTTTGATTGATGAGATTTTCTTTTATCTATGATTAATAATTTTGATTAATGTCATCTTTTTTGCTGTTGTTAAAGTATCGCAGATTTTCCGATAACTATTAAACTATTATATATATTACTATTGAACCATATAGTATTGAACTAAATAAATTTTGTGATTCTTTAACATTTTAAAACAAAAAAAAATATGACGTTAATTAAAATTCTATGGTATGCAAATTTGGGAAAGTATAAACGGGATTAATGATTTTAGAACAAGCAAAATTTTTTATGAAGAATGCTTTTTCTCCAAAATGTCAATAATAAAAAAGTTTTCCTCTTTGTAAAGACAGTCCTACACTACTCACACTAAATTCAATCACTGGAAAAAATACAACAATTTTTTCAGTACTGTTAAATATAATTATTTATTAATAAATCCAAAAAGTGTTCTCTGGGCACAGGTGGTACGTTACAATCACAAAAAATATACGGTGCGATTTAAAAGAACGACGTCGACATCCTTACTATAATATACGAACGAAGCTTAAAGTACACGTTAATTTTCACCCTCGTCAGCCTCCTCCTCCTCGTCAAACTCGCCCTCCTCTTCGGCCGTGGCGTCTTGGTACTGCTGGTACTCCGAAACCAAGTCGTTCATGTTTGACTCCGCCTCCGTAAACTCCATCTCGTCCATACCCTCGCCAGTGTACCAATGCAGGAAAGCTTTCTCCTAAACATGGCGGTGAATTGCTCAGAGATTCGCTTAAACAGCCCTGGATGCAGGTGGAGTTTCCTATGAAAGTCGAAGACATCTTGAGACCTCTGGGTGGTATGTCACACACCGCGGTCTTGACGTTGTTCGGAATCCATTCGACAGAAATAGCTGCTGTTCTTGTTCTGAATGTTCAACATTTGTTCGTCAACCTCTTTCATGGACATCCTGCCTCTGAAGATCGCTGCTACAGTTAGGTACCTTCCGTGGCGAGGATCACAAGCTGCCATCATTCTTAGCGTCAAACATTTGGAGTACTAACTCGGGAACTGTCAAAGCGCGGTACTGTTGAGCTGCCTCTGGAGGTAAGTGGCGCAAAATCCGGGCATAAAGAAGTGCAAACGAGGGAAAGGTACCATATTTACCGCGAGTTTTCGCAAATCCGAATTCAGCTGGCCGGGAAATCTCAGGCAAGTCGTCACGCCAGACATCGTGGCCGATACCAAGTGATTCAAGTCGCCGTAAGTTGGAGTAGTCAGTTTCAAAGTCCTGAAGCAAATGTCGTACAGGGCCTCATTATCAATGCAGTACGTTTCATCCGTGTTTTCTACCAGCTGATGCACGCTCAACGTGGCGTTGTACGGTTCCACCACGGTATCGGATACTTTAGGAGAGGGAACTACCGAAAAAGTATTCATTATTCTGTCAGGGTATTCTTCTCTGATCTTTGATATCAACAGCGTTCCCAATCCGGACCCCGTACCTCCTCCTAGCGAGTGGGTCAGCTGGAAGCCCTGCATGCAATCGCATCCTTCGGCTTCTTTGCGTACCACGTCCAAGACCGAATCCACTAGTTCGGCGCCTTCGGTGTAGTGTCCTTTGGCCCAGTTGTTGCCGGCCCCGCTCTGGCCAAAGATGAAATTGTCCAGTCGAAAGATTTGTCCGAATGGACCAGATCGAACCGGAATCCATCGTACCGGGTTCTAAGTCGACGAGCACCGCTCGGGGAACATACTTTCCGCCAGTGGCTTCATTGTAATAGACGTTGATCCTTTCGAGTTGTAAGTCCGGAGTCTCCGTGATAGGTTCCCGTGGGGTCGATGCCGTGCTCATCAGATATCACTTCCCAAAACTGAAAAAAAAAACGTATCGTAAATTTATTATACTCGAAAAATATGAGGGTTTTCCCTGAATTCATTCACTTACTTTGGCGCCAATTTGGTTTCCGCATTGTCCGGCTTGAATGTGCACTATTTCTCTCATTTTGATCTTATTTTACGTAATTTTTTTTTGAAACAAATACCAAAAATATGGCACTGTTTACTTTAGTTACCTAGTGCCAGAAGTTGTTTCAAATACGCCTCTTCAAATATTCAAATTTGTAATCTTATTGGCGCGTAGTCGCACCGCAACCAACAATACACCTATAGAAAATTCTGCCAATATAAGAAAATAATAATTCTATAAAATTATATAAAAAAAATAAACACTTATGCTAGTATATTTTCCTAAACACCATACAACATATAACAATAAATCTAAATACAAAACAAACGTAAAAGTGGTTTCCTCACCTTAAAATTGTCTTCTAAAATCATAGTAATTTTTTATTTTTCTACGATGTCACTCTGACCAATGCCAACGGCTTGCAAATTTGTTTTATTTTTTAAAACTAACCAAACATTTATGAAAAATGAATCTAATCCTCATGCTGTAATATTTAGTGAAAATCATTAATTTTAAGTGAAAGCGTATGGCAAGAACATTGCGGCTGCTGTCCCTCGTTTTGGTGTGTTTTAATTTCTGTAGTAAATTCGTCGAAATTAAATGTACCCAGAGTGTTGTTACCCATTTTTAATGACTTTTTTCGTCAAAGTTCCTGCTAGAAGCTACTGAAGGAGGCTGTTACAAATGGTTCGTTGAATAAAATTACGTACGTAAGTTTAAAAATTAATTATTTTTAATGTAGGACTACGACAAAGAGCAGATGTTATACAACTTATGCAATGGAGGATGAAAACAAGAATTGCATTGTTCGTCAAGAGTTGTTGTTAGTACGGTAACTAAAGAAGCAGCTAGAAATATAGCTGTAGTGTTAGCTGAAGACGTTCTAACAAAGCAGAATTTACGCTGTGATGTTATAGTAGATGTAATCTATTCGTTAGCAATAACAACTACAACTAAGGAGTTGTTTATGGAGGAAGCACCAGAAGATTTTGAAGTCAAGGCTTTTGATGATCAGGAAATGAATTTTCCTCGCTGGAAGGAGTGGAATTTGACTGGAATATTATTCCTCTAGGACCAAACAAAGACACTGTGATAAGATACATAGCTTATAGAGACTCACCATATGAAACACCTTCAGCTATAGAGGCACTAGAGAATGAAAAAAAAAAGGATACCCAATTTTATTAAGAAGGCATAAAAGTGGTTCTGCTAAGGTAATCTTTACTTAGTTATTTTAATTAACAAGATATTAGCATTCTTGGTTTTTAGATAACAGTAAAGCTACCCTATCCCGAATATAAACACGTTGAAGTTAGTGAGGTACAGCTTATGATTGTAGCAAATTTGTTATTAAGCCCAGCTGAAGTGTATGTGATGATAGGTGATGTAGTGCCATTTAAGATATTTCATGTAAGTTATATAGTTTTTTTTTATTTTATAAGTAAAAAAATAAGTAATCTCTATTATGAACTAATTATTCTTATCTTATAATGTGTGGTTGTTTTAATTTAGATCAAAATGAAGAAAAGTACTATTAAAATTAATTTTTCAGATAAATAATGGTAGAATGGACGAAATTGTATTACCAGATGCTCAATATTATATAGAACCTGAGGATTCCACTATTGTGTCTTCAACTAAAAAAAGTGGAAGTGTAACTGCCTTAAAAGAAGGTAAAACAAGGATAGTTTTGCAAGATCGAAACATTGGCAAGAACGACCCAATGCTAAAGTTACCTGCAGCAACTATACACGTAGTTCAGCCCGAATATGTTATTTTGAACATTGCCTGCCTCATAAAAAACTGGGCATTTTAGTTGCCCAGCACCATGACACATGTGTTGCTGAGCTTTATGACGCGACTGATCATAGATTATACTTAGGTGAAAATGCACAAATGTATTTGGAGAAGTTACACCAGAGTTCTATGCAACATCAAAACCAAAAATGGTAGCTGGCTTTACTGGTTATGGTGTTAAATCAGGTATTGCCACTGTCCAGGCATCTTTAGAAACCAGTGCTGATGGACAAACTAGAAGTTGAATAAACCTATTAGTGCTAAAGGCAGATAATG